CACTAATGTCTAGAATATTGATCTTTATGTATTTTATTTCATTTCTTATGACTTCCAATTTCCTAGTTTCATACTTTGTGCATTGCATATTCTGATTATTAATGGATGTTTACAGCTGTTTTTTTCTCATTTGGAGTCATGCAAGCCAACACAGTACAACAAACTCACAGCCAAGGGATGGTGATTATTTATAAAAATGAGTAAACACCATATTTCTTCACATATGGTGTGTAATTGTGTGATCACCATTGCCACCTTACAGGTTCATTCACCTATATTGGCATGTCTATCTTTGTTGATTTATTTGATGGAAGCAAGGTCACATACAATAGTCAGACTGACCCACATAACCCCTTACAGCAATATGAGCTTATGTTCTGTTTGTGTTTCTAAAGATTTTTAGTAGTTAACTATAATTTTCTATGTCATAGTTGCTGAAGATTACCACAGAAGAAGGGAGAAGAAACAAGAAAGAGGAGGAGACAAGAGAACTGACATTTAATTTTGAGACTCTAATGCATCAAGTACTTTGCTATGGGCTTTAATATACTCATTACTTCATTTCAGGAGTTCTGGTGTATGCTATAGGATAACGCAATGGACTGTAAACCACAAGGTAAGCAATTCAAACTCACCTACAGCTCCTCAGAAGCCCTATACAGGGTCACTATGGGTTGAAACCGACTTGACAGCATTCAACAATAACAAAGCATCAAGTACTTTGCTATAGATCTTAATACACTTACTACTTCATTTCATAGCAAACCTTTAAGTTATAAATTAGTATTCCAATCATTTAGGAGGGAGAAAGAAACCCTATCTTCAAATATACAAATATTATCTTGTTATTGTTGTTAAGTGCCATTGAGTTGGTTTCAACTTACAGCAACCTGTATAGAGTTTCCAAGGACCAGATAGTGGGTTTGAACCACTAATTTTGTGATTAGCAGTTCAGCGCTTAACCTATAGCACCTCACCAGGACTCCATATAAGTATTATTCTTGTTTTTGTTGTTGTTAAGTGCTGTTGAGTTGATTCTGACTCATAGCGACCCTGTATAGGGTTTCCAAGGAGTGGCTGGTGAATTTGAACCACCAATCTTGCAGTTTAAACAATCTTGTGGTCCAGTGCATTATCCCACGGTGCCATAGCAGGACTCTATAAATATTATAGAGACCCTTTATTAAACCTTAACCAGAAGTAAAAATAAGACAAAAAAAATATAGATTACCCAGGTGAGGGAAACTATCAATATGATGCCATGATAAACCCCAAAATTCTACCTCAACATGGTGATCTGTTATAAGGCACAGAGTACAAAGGAATCTCTGAGCACAACCAGGACTGACTGACAACAGCAAGGCATCCCAGACACACACCTGACCTATGGAAGCAGGGAGGGGATGATTGTAAATAGGAAAGCTTACAGACTGTGTCTGAGACTCACGGGGTATGAGGTCAAACCCAGGTGACCCTGCAGTCATTAGAGCCCTTGATAAGGATTTCCTGTTCTTCTTGCACTGCCTGGAGAACATAGCTCAAAAATGAACTTTTAAAATATACTACTTTTTACTTTGACAATTTGGCAGTCAGAGTTCATGAGGAACTCAAGAAAAATTGGCATTTGAACACTTAAACCGGGCACAAGATGGAATTAAGCTTTGCCTGGCTGGAGTCATCCACAGACAAAAAGCCTTCAGATTCCAAGCTATGAAATATAATTTTATTTATAATAGATTTCAGACATATTTGTCCAGTGCACACTATAAACCTATCATATGAAAATGCTGATTCTAGTGTGATGGTGGTGTTAGTCCTTACAAAACAAAAGGATATGCAAGTTATACGTTAAAATACTTGACATTTCAATTCAGCCAGAAAGGGGTGCTATAGGATAAGCACTGTACTGCCAAACACAAGGTTGGCAGTTCAAACCCACCTGCAGCTCCTCGGAAAACCTGAGTCAGAACTGACTCCATGGCACTTAAAAACAACAAAGTAAAATAAAATAATATAATTATTCTTCATTATTTGTAGTGATCCTCAAAGTTTGCAAATAAATCCCTGGGGGAAACAGCAAGCCTCTCTAAATGGGTTCCTCACACATTTGGTTCCCAGATCTCCTTGCTCCCCTGGAGCACCCTTCTCTGTCTCTCAAGACCCATATCCCTGACAGTGAGCAGAAACACCCTGAAGCAGAGAAATGGAATGTTACATAGGCATAGAACACACGCAATACTTACGGGTCCACTAGATAGACTTTGTCATACCCCTGTCCCCTCCCCTACTAGAGGGTTGACATGATCTCAAAATCAGAGACAAACTCAATAAATTGCTTACTTTTTTAAATGGCTAAAAATAAACATAATCCTTACTGAAATCGTTCAGAGAGGTATCAAGATGTTGATTACATTTTGTGTACCCAAATGACCTACACACTATCTGTCTACTCTCCAACTCCAACCACAAAAACTTGGGCCTGTCTTTGGCCATTCTGGTCCCTCTAATGTCTCCACAAGATGTCTCTCCCACAGTTTCTTTCATGTTTCAGAGCTTCTCCACCTATACTTTTCGTCCCATTTTTCCCTTGTAAACAATTCTAACGTACCAAGGCTTTCTCTTTTGCAATATTCACTCATTACCCATAATGAGCCCAATCTTGAACTCTGAGCTCATTAAGCAAATACAGAATTCTCCTAAGAGGGTAAGAGGGGAGATCATGGCTTGGAGCAATTATACACTACATTTTTGTTTCTGTTACACATACGCATATACAAATTTTTTTATATATATTTTCACTGCAAACCATCTATAAAGTGTGTCCATCTATAAAGATTTAGGGGTATTTGTACCCCAGATTCAGAATATTGCTCTAAAGCAACTATTCCTTCAGCAAACAGCAGGCAGTCAGAACATGAGAAACAGAAGATCAATTTCTGCAGATCAGTAAGCAATAGGAAAACCAAAACCAGAACCAGAAAAATAGGATTCTCATGTCAGAGAGTTCCAGAACCAAGGGCTCCTAAAAGAAAATCTGATTCCTAAACTGGCTGGTGCCATTTCTGAACCCTGAAGACCTGTCACACCTGATCTACACAGTCATTACCTGACTCTGATCCTTCCTGACAACTGAGCTCTCCATTGTCACTGAGAGCAAAAACAACTGTTTCAAAGGGTAACACTCACCCCAATTATGGCCTGCAGTTAAAATAAATAAATAAATAACCCAGATAAGACCAGTCACTGCAGTCTTAGGGTATAGGCTACAAAACTGACAAGGAGTGCAGAGATACCAGTCTTATCCTGGTATTGGGACCACTGATAGAGGAGGGAACAGACTAAAGGCAAAAGCCGCTGGAGATGTGGGAAGTAAGGCCACAAAAAAAGTTGAGTCACTTACCTGCATACAGCTGGGCCTTACTCCAGGCTGAAAGAGAACACATCCTAGTGAGACTATTGCCATGATCAGCATGAATCCACTGGCCAACACCCACCCCTCTATTCTAAAGTTGTGACTATGCAGAGCAAGACAGATGCTGGAAAAGAGATGATGAACTGTAGAAGGCAGAGCCAGTCAGGGATGGTAGGAAATGTCCATGACCACAGGTCAGGGATGCTGGAAGTGTGACTCATAGGGAGCCATTACGCTTGAATTTTGAGGTTCTCTGGGAAGGTATGAGTCCTGGTGTGGCACTGTAGGATGAACACTGGACAGCTAACTCCAAGGTCAGCAGTTCAAACCCACCAATTGTTCCTAGGAGACCCTATAGAGGGTTGTTATGGGTCAAAACAGACTCAAGAGCAATAAATAACAACAACATGGGAAGAATTACAATTCAAGTTCACTAGCCTTACTGCTGCTGTGGGACTTTGGGCAAGTCACTTACCTGTTCTCTTCCTCAATAATCTCAAAAACTCCTATCCTGCCTGTATTCCGCTAATAATCAAAAGTACATGTGAAATGATTTTAGCCAATATAAATTGTTCCATAATCATAATATCTACTCACTTTCTAGGAAATATATATCTAGAAAATTATCAAGAGAAGGAATGAAAATAGATAAAGATGTATGACAAGTTCCAGGTAAAATTAGCCAGCCCATCTAAAATAGAGCTATATTTTCCCAGAGATAATAGTGCCTCTATCCTGAGATCTTGGAGTGGCAAGATTCAGAGTCCTGGTGTGGTGCTGTGGGTTAATGCGCCAGACTCCAAGGCTGTTTAACTGCAAGGAGTGGAAAGCCTCATCTCTTTCACGTGGAGGACCTGGTGGATTTGAGCTGCTGACCGTGGGATTCGCAGCCAGATTTTTAACCACTACACTACCAGGCCTTCCACCTTCAAGATGGTGGATCGGGTAGACGTGTAGTGAGGAGCTCGGTCAACAACAACACTGAATACC